AGTATTCTGAAGACCATAAGCTTTGAACGTATCACGTATTTTGTGATAAAATACCGGATGATAACAGGTCTATAAATAATTCATAATCATCTTTATAAATGGAAATAACGATTTTGCATTACGGAGTTGTGGATATTGTTGAGTTACTCTTTTTGAAATCATGAATCGATCAATATTAGACCTCAATTAGAAATCTGGAAGCACTGAACGGCCATTTCGTTATCAGCAATGCGTATCCACGACCCCCTCTCTCCAGAAACGAACCCAGAACCGTGGATCTTCGGTGAGCAGTGCTTTACATCAGAACAACGTTGAATTTGTCTTATTTGATTGATAAATGTACATATTCTATTTGTAATGAAAGAAACACACAGTGTTAAATTTTATCATCGCTAATATTTCTAACTAACTAACTAACTGACTAACGTTTGTTAATATAAAACTAGTTTTTTTTGATATCTTTTAAACATTTTCCATTCAATATTCAATTTTCAAAATAAGTATTCTGAGAAAAAAGAAACTCAATATCTATTCACTTCATTCAGACTAATGTCTAATGTCTGATTTTAAACAACTGTCTGTAAAACTTGTTTTTTTTTCTTCAAAGAAACGTTACATCCATATCTCCAACTATCAAGGTTAGAAAAAAGACACCATCTTTACATTATTTAGTGAAGCACTTATGTATTCAAATAAAGTAGCACTAAAAAGCTTCGGACTCATTGAGTTCTTGTCATTTTATTCTAGCAAGCGTATAATGAATAAAAACACTTGAATGACAAAAACATTAAGAGTTATTACTTTGAGATGAAAAAAACCCTAATCATGAATGTATATTTATTCATTTAATATAATGTTGAACAACTGTTAGAAAAACCTCTCCTGGAGCCCGTCCACGGTTACAGCCGGTCCCAAACCCAGTGACCTCATCCCTTAGAAATCCAACTCGTTAAGAAAACGCTAGTCAGAAAAGTAACTTTCTGGTCTGCGGCCTATACTCCATTAGGAGTAACAGGAGTAAGTAAGTAAGTATGTAAACATTAGAAACATGGATGACCTTGGGGGCCGTCTCCTCCTAGTATGGGAATCATCAACAGTGAGTTTTAATGGTCGACTTATAACCGCAATGTAACCCAGTAGTCACCATAACCTTATAATGCAAGTTATCATGTTCTCATTAGTGGCTAGCTTCGTGACCAGTTGTGACTAATGGAGTTCAACCCAGTCAGGTGGGAAGCAATGCCCGCCTAATTCAATGGGCGAGGTTGCGTAAGACCATGGATTGATTCCAGTTAGCAACTAACACCTTTGGATGTCACCCACTCGGTGATCTAGAGGTTAAGCGTTCGCTTGTGAGGACAAAGGTCCTGGGTTGGATTCCTACGATTAGCGTGGGTGATGGATGCTCACTGCCTCTGATGAGTCCCATGCAAGGATGATATAACTGTCTAGTACTTTTATGTTTTTAATGGTAGTCTAAAATTCATCGATTCATGATTTTAAAATCTAACTCAACAATCTCTATAATCCTATAATTAAAAATATGTCATGCTTTTGAATACTGATCAAAATCTATTTATATCATTCGTCAGTTTTCACACAGTGAAATCATGAATCAACCATAGTTAGACCACCTTTAAAACCCCATAAGCACTGGACGGCCGTTTCGTCTTGGTATGGGACTCATTAGAAGTGCGCGTCCATGAATTAAGCCACTTGCACGGATCCAACCCAGGACCACTGCCTTCACATGCGAAAGGCCTAACATCTGAACCACTGAGTCGGCATCCGATAGTGTTAATGTCTAACTCTGGTCAATCTTAGTTATTTTTGTCAGTAGATTAAGTAACATGATACTGTTATATATTCCTGTCTTATCAAATTCTGGAATAGGAGGCAGGATAGGAAGAAATAAGCTATCGAGTTATGTGGACCAATAAGCACTTAGAACTGATTCAAGGTTACTGGAGCTAGAAGGTAACTCTAGCTTGTATTTTTCATGTGGTGTGAGTCAACGGTTAAGGAATAAAACCGATGCTAAAACATATTTCAATTAAGCTATTCTAGCCTGAGTAGCTTAGTGATAAAGGTTTGAAAATGTAGTATTGTAGCACACCTCACATATGTCTTGTACTTTTATCATTGTTGAGTTGTATGCGTATGTACGCTTTCGCACTACTTGCCACCTACACACAGATAATTATTTGACTACAATATAGAGGGACGTATCAGTTTCCCTGAATTTTTCAAATATATTTTACTGATAGCTTGATTCAATGTAAGCGTACTACTCGTCAAGGTCGCATCCTACATCATGTCTGGCTCAGGAGGATAAATATGTATACATGTTGGTGGTTTGTATACCCAATTATTCAGTTTATTATTCGCAGCTTCCTAAACACTTCCACTTATTTTCACATGTATTGCTAGGTTGTGCATAAGTATGGAAAGCTAGTCTGTCTGAATCAGATGTCAAATGACGTAACGTGAGTAAAGACTGATATGTAATCTAGTCGCCTAAGTCTAGCCATGAATTATTTTCAACCGCCTATCTAAACATTTCCAAGAATTACTTAGCGATTATCAAAAGAGGTGTATGAAGGCCAGTATTGGACACCCAGGACATTCATTTCATCCTATCTAGGACTAATGCAAATGAACTGCTGATGATTCAACTATTTTTCAAATCGATAATGCAAATTGTTAGGCAGTATTATTCTATGAAAAATGAAACAATCCATG